GTCCCCTCTCCCCCCCCCTGTCCCCTGTTTGTTACTAACGGACTGGTTTAGAACGTTGAAGGTGGCAGGCGTTCTGCTCACATAGGTGGCTGGTGTCTCTATAAATAGATTATGACGGTTAAAGATAAGGTAAGATAAGATAAGATAAGATGCGTCTTAATTGTCCAAATCCTAGCATATTGGTTTGGTGTTTCACCACATCAGACATTTTGTAGATAACACTAACCGCAGACGCTGCTCTTGTTGATCTGTGAGAAAAATCGTCATGAACTAAAAACTTTTGATGTTCCCTTGGCTTAGGGGACAAAAATACCATTCTTGATGTGTTTTAAAATTCATGCTGTAGAATAAAATGCTTTCCTCTAGCACTTGTTTTTTCTTTCATCAAGAAATATCAGATAAGAAATGTCTAGTTGTCGTAATTATTATGGTGTTGGGTGACTAGTTATCGGAGTCGGAGCGGGTCCACTTGCCATGAGACAGGCTCTGATGTAACTGTCCTCGTCTCCGAAAGGGTCTGGTGTTGCTGAAAGTCTGGGCACTCTGTGTGTGTGTGTGTCCCTGTGAGTAGCTGCCTCCACCCCTCGTGGCCTGGCGGGTGCTCTGGTGTGGTTTGCTCCTCCTTTCCTATCAAATATCTATTTTCCTGATCTCTCCTTCTTCTTTTTTTTGTGTTTGTTACACTCTTGTAACACCTCTAATCTTCGGCACTTTTGTGACCTTATTGTGTTGCAAGTGCCGTAAAACTATTACTTTAACTAAACTCGTGGCTGGTACTGCTCGCCCCGACTCAAACTTCAATCCTAACTAAAACCAAAGAACTGTGGCTATTTTTCTGAGACCTCTCTATCCCTCTCTCCTAACCTTATGATTGCTGACTCAGCACTCACAACTTTTCGGTTGCCTGGTGAGGTGATATAGAGATGGCTGAGGAAATGTGGGGGGAGAACTGTGTGTTTGTGTGTTTGTATGTTTGTGTGTAGTTGGGACAAATAGACACGTGTATGAGTAGAGTGCTAGCTGTTTGTTTTTAACGCTTGTCCTACAAGGTTCGGTTCTAGGGTTTGATCTTTGTAACACTGCTAGAAACATGCTTGGTGGGTGGTGGTTGGCGGGTGCTCTGTTTTGGTTTGCTCCTTCTTTCCTATCAAACGTCTGTCGTCTTTATCTCTCCTCCTTTGTTTGTGTTTGTTACTCTCTTGTAACACCTCCGATCTTCGGCACTTGTATGACCTTATTGTGTTACAAGTACCGTAGAATTAGCCAAATGGTAAAAAAAACAAACGAACATGCTTATTTGATGGGTTTATATTGTATCTGCTGGCTTTGTAGAATATCAAGTAAGACAGAAGCTATTAATGTATAGTTTTGACGAGAAAGACAAGCAATTGATTTATAGTTATGTCAAGTAAGACAGAAAGGAGACAAATTTATAGTTTTGACAAGTGGGACAGACGCTCTTGGTATATAGTTTTCTCGAGTGAGACAGAAGCAATTGATTTATAGTTTTGTCGAGAAAGACAAGCTTTTGATTTATAGTTTTGTTGAATAAGACAGAAGCGATTGATTTATAGTTACATAAAGTAAGACAGAAGCTATTAATTTATTATATGTCAAGTGAGTCAGAAGCAATTGATTTATAGTTATGTCAAGTGAGACAGAAAGGAGACAAATTTGAGACTCCAACGTGCCGTGTAGTGATATATGTGAGGCACCAGGCGGAGAACTGTAAGTCTACAGTGTTTTAGAAGTGGGTGGTTGGTGGGTGCTGTGGTGTGGTTTGCTTCTTCTTTCCTATCAAACATCTATCGTCTTTATCTCCCCTCCTTCATTTTTTTGTTTTTGTTGCTCCCTTGTAACACCTCTTCGGCCCTTATATGACCTTATTGTGTTGCAAGTGACGTAAAACTCTTACTAGAGCTAAACTCATGGTCAGTGTCGTTGTATTATACAATGTTTTATGTTACTGTTGTACGTTGTACTGTATTGTAAAGTGCTCAGAGCCTGTGTACTTTAATCGGGGTTGAGCGCTATATAAATGTCATTTATTATTATTGTTATTATTATTATTATCGTTATTATTATTAATATTATTATTATTATTATTATAATTATTATTATTATTCTCAGGACAGCACCATCAGCCGGCTGACCAGGGAGATCGAGGTCCTCAAGAAGGACATCCGGGAGAGGGACATCCAGATGTCCAGCAGTGCCAGGGTGAGCGGAGGACGCATCGCGCACGACAATGTGGCGGCGGCTGCGCGCTCGAGTGTTGTTGTTGTCTGTTGTATTGCTCATGCTGTGTTGGAAGCATTACACTTGCGAACCTAAAAACTTCAACCGTCGCCCAACATTACACTTGTAAACTTTATTTTTCAAGACATCACAGTTGGGAGCCTGTTCAATCTTGAGCAAATTTAAACATTACATTGGTTGGCGGGTGCTCTGGTGTGGTTTGCTCCTTCTTTCCTATCAAACATCTATCATCCTTATCTCCCCTTCTTCTTTTTTATGTTTGTTACTCTCTTGTTACACCTCTAATCTTCTGGCCCTCATATGACCTTATGCAGTTGCGAACGCCGTAAAACCTCTACTAACACTAAACTAAAAACATTACACTTGCGAAGCTAGGTCTAGTGGTTGAACAGAAATAAAAGCATTGCATGTGCGAATCTAACAATTTGTAATCCAGTTCTACTTGTACCAGATCTAGTTACGCATAAGATGGTTGATGGTGATCGTAATGCATTCCTCCTGTGTTTACAGGCTTGACACTCTCTCAAAATGGTATGCCACTGTATTACAAATGTTTGACCTGTTGTGTGTTTGGGTGATGCGGGGGGGATATTTGTAATAGAACAGTGCCAGCATATTCAAGCAAAATCCTTTATTTGCCCCGACATCGTCTAGGCTTACAAGTGTATTGTTGGGTGACCGTTGAAAGTTTTTAGGTTTGCAAGTTTAATGTTTTGGTGCCGTTTGAAAATTGTCGGTTCGCAAATGTAATACACCCACTGAGATCTCTCCACTGTTGTTCCTCTGTGTGTGTGTGTGTGTGTGTATGTGTGTGTGTGTGTGTGTGTGTGTGTGTGTTGTGTTAGCCACCTGTGCTGTTCTCTTGTTGTTCACAAAGCTTTTTGTTGTGCTCTGTGCTGTTGGTGTTGTTATGCTTTGGGCTGTCGTTGTGTGCTGTTCTGCTGTTGTTCACAAGGCTGTTTTACTCTGTGCTGTGGTGTACGCTGCTCTTGGGCTCACGGCTGTCTGTCTTTGTGCTGTGCTGTTATACAAAAGGCTGTTGTGTGCTGAGCTATGGTGCTGTTATGCTCAGGGTTCTCGTCATGTCACGACCTCAGTGTTTTTTGTGAGTAGTTGGCGGGTGCTCTGGTGTGGTTTGCTCCTTCTTTCTGATCAAATATTTATTTTTCTTACGTCTCTTCTTTCTCTTCTTTGTGATACCTCTAATTTTTTACTTTTGTACCGTAAAACTCTCACTACAATTCTTCCAACTTCACAATCCTTTAGTGTCAATAATTCCGTTTATCTTGTTTGTTCATTGCTCTTTTCTGAACTAATTCTCTCAAAGATAATCTCTTTTTACCTCTGAGCTGCTCTGGGCATTTGGTTTATTATCCCCTTTTTTCTTCTAGGTACTATTTTCTGTGTTCATTTAATGGAGTATGGGAGACCACGCAACATATGTTTGTTCATTTCTTTTCTCTCCAGAAGACGCCCCCTAAGGTGACCTCAGATTTTCTTTTTCATTTGTTATGCACGATAACGTAGTCAGTCTTAGAATAATCTCGAGTACGTTTTGAATATTTATATATACTCCCTGCTGAAGTGATGTTACGTTCAGAATGTAACGGAAAAGGCTGCTTTGTTTTTATTCTTTCGTCCAGAAAGTTAGTCAACTGAATAATAAGTGTGTGTTGGGTGAGGGTGGGGTGGGGGGGGGGGGGGTGTCACAAATTTAAAAAAAAAAAACCCTGATGCTTTTCAAACATTTATATGATGCACACTTACTAATTTGCTGCTATGTTTTTTTTGTTTTTTTGTTGGTTTTTTAAATTGATTTTCCGGTGTTGTTTTGTCCAACTTAACATCATATGGAAACATTGTTGAATGCTTTATGTACAGTACTATAATGACATTCTCTTCTTCTTCTCCTTCTCCTCTTCCTCCTCCTCCTCCTCCTCCTCCTCCTCCTCCCTCTTTTATCAGTAATGTAATTTGTAATCATCATTATCATCACTGCTCTCATCGTCAAAGTCACCATGAATGATGTCGTTGTCACTGTTGTTACAATCATTGCTGTTGCTGTAGCTGTTTACCTCAGTGTGCTGTTGCTGTTGCTGTTGCTGTAGCTGTTTACCTCAGTCTGCTGTTGTTGTCTCTGTAGCTGTTTACCTCAGTGTGCTGTTGCTGTTGCTGTTGCTCTAGCTGTTTACCTCAGTGTGCTGTTGCTGTTGTTGTTGTTGTCTCTGTAGCTGTTTACCACAGTGTGCTGTTGCTGTTATCATTCCGCCATCAGTTTGTTGAACTTGTTGACATTTGCTTCCGTTTGTTTTTTTTGTTTTTTTTAAAGGAAGTTCCGCCTTTTCTAAAGCAATATATCGTGGTAAGCAGCCTCTTGGATGTGATCTTTATTATTATGTGGAGATGTGGTGGAGGAGGGATGGCAGCCGTGCCTTTGCTGACCGCTAACAAACTGCTTTGTGCTTTTTTTGGTCTTTTTTTTTTTTGTGTATTAAACTCTGTCGTTAGAGTAGGTTGACGTTAGACGTTAGGTAGACTGACCCTAGCCTGATGCTTACTGATGGTAGTTTGGTACTAGACTGACTGTAGACTGACATTTGACTGGCAGTAGACTGATATGCCCTGTGGACAAAGATATCGCCTGACATTTTGGTCCTTACAATTGACATAATTCCCTGTTTCTATCTGTTTTAGCAATTCATAATAGCGATTATTAGAGAGTACACTATTTTTTTTTTTACAGTCGGCTTAGAGAACACATTCATGCTTCAGTAACATTTTACTTTTAGGGATTGTAGGTGGTTGGCGGGTGCTCTGGTGTCGTTCACTCCTTCTTTCCTATCAGACATCTGTCATCCTGATCTTTCCTCCTTTCTTGTGTTTGTTACTCTCTTGTAACACCTCTAATCTTCGGCACTTATGACCTTATTGTGTTGCAAGTGCTGTAAAACTCTTACTAAAACTACTGGAGGAAATATATGAGGCACTGCCAGTCACACACACACACACAGCTCACTTGTGCTCTCAGAGAGACAGGCATACTTACTATAACACATTCAGATGTACATCCACACATACACACACACACACACACACACACACACACACACACACACACACTCATACACACACACACACACACACACACACACACTCACACATAAATACACACCCATTCGCATGTACATTTTTTTTACACAGATGAAAAGTGTTTCTAAAAAAGAGAGACACAGAAATAATAATGAGCAGAGAAAAATATGACATACAGACAGACATATTAAAGGCGGACGCAAATAGAAGATTAGATAATTGTAGGAGGAAGATTTGGAGAGACAAGGGGAGAAAACTGGAGCCAGGAAGGGAACTTGGATTGTAAAGATTCATCGGAGGATATGAGGGTGATTTTTTTATTTTTTCATTTCTTAACTATCCGTATGGCCAGGAGTCATTTTGTAGGCCCGGGGTAGTATTCTTCACATTCTAGAATACTTATAGTAGGAAGATCTCTTTGAAACTTTCAGTATTTCTCAAAAAATCATTTTGACAGACTGTTATGCAAAGAGTATGGATCGGATTAACGAGTAAATTTTCTCTTTGGAAAGGGGTAGCACAGAGTTTCCCACGTCTAATTGACATAATAATAAGACACGACGTACGGATAGGGTTAAATATGAGTTGTTTGTTAGTTGATGATAGACAGAGCAAATAATGCCAGTGACCTAAGCCTGCTGTGCATCAAAGTTTTCCTTCACCCCCCCCCCATCAATAGAGCACTCATTATTGTTTCAACTTTGTACTGTGTGTGGAACTACCTTGTAGGGCGTTCATTCCTATATTGTTGTTTGGTTTGTATTACTATTGTATGAAACATATTATTGAGCTTGAGGGCGCGGCAAAGTTACCCACGTCAACGTCCTTGTCGATTGCTTGTTGCACTCATGTACGTCTTTGCAGAAGATTGCTTCTGGACTTATTGTGATTATTAAATTTTTTTTTTCAGTCAGCTTAGAAAACACATTCATGCTTCAGTAACATTTTACCTTTAGGGATTGTGGGTGGTTGGCGGATGCTCTGGTGTGGTTTGCTCCTTTTTTCCTATCAAAAGCTATCGTCCTTCTCTCTCCTCCTTTTTTTTTGTTTGTTACTCTCTTGTAACACGTCTAATCTTCAGCACTTATATGACCTGGTTGTGTTGCAAGTGCCGAAAAACTCTTATTAAAACTAAACTGTGACAATAGGAGGGAGAGAGAGTCAGTAAAAATTGTTCCAGAACTTACTGTGACAGTTGGAGAGAGAGAGAGGGAGACAGTAAAGATCACATCACTCTTTTTCCTTATTACTCTCTGCTGGTTCCGGTAGTTGCATGTCATAGTAGAATGAGATGTCGTTTGACGTACAGTAGGTCCACTGTGGAAACCCCCCTCTCTCCCCCCCCCCCCCACCCCCACTCTTCCCACCCCCAGCGACTCCCTCTTTTCTCTCTCTTTTGCTCTTTTCCTAATATTTATCATCTTGATTCTTGATTGTATTTTTGTATCTTTAACAAAATACTCTGTCTTATATAGACGTACATTTCTCCTGATCTGTCATTAACACATACAAGGTTTGGGTAGGTCCTCTCTCCATGTCTCATGTAGCTTCTGTCATGGTTTTTTTCTGTCAGTGAGGAATTCCAAGCGATATGCCTTTTGGGAAAGACGGAGAAAAGTATGTTGTGTGGGGGTGAGGAGGGGGGGGGGGGCACATAGCCAACAGACTGCCCCAACGTGTCCAGCAATGTAAAAAAAACCCTGACTGTTGAAGATTAAAGGCAGGGTCACTACTACAGTGGAGTCTGCCTAAAGTGAACACAATTTACTTGAACAATCGGTTTTGGAGGGTTTTGTCTGAAAACTGAATTCTGTTATTCCGTTATGGCTCAAATACATCGTGTAGTTTGTAATACAGAGCTGAGACCCCTTGGAATATCTCCTGTTATTTTATTTACCCTCTTTCTTCTGTAGTATTTATTTCTACACTGCACTCATTCATCAATATTCCTCTGTAACCATTTCCCTTGGACATATTTATGTATATTATGTATGTGTGAGTTTTGTAATGTAATCTTGTTAGTTGTGAGATAAAACTCCATGATTGATAGAGAGTCAGATGTTTTTGATCATGAAAGAGACCCGATTGATTCAATCTTTTCTCATCTTCTTTGTTTTGTTTTTTGGTTTGAACTTCTTCAGAAAACTGAGAGAAAAAAAGGAAGAAGAGAATGAGAAGAAAAGAAGAAGAAGAGAATGAGAAGAAAAGAAGAAGAAGAGAATGAGAAGAAAAGAAAAAGAAGAGAATGAGAAGAGAAGAAGAAGAAGACAATGAGAAGAAAAGAAGAAGAAGAGAATGAGAAGAAAAGAAGAAGAAGAGAATGAGAAGAAAAGAAGAAGAAGAGAATGAGAAGAAAAGAAGAAGAAGAGAATGAGAAGAAAAGAAGAAGAAGAGAAGAAGATTTTTGTTTTCTTTCCCCAGTATCCTTACCGTAGTGTTGTGTTTGTGGGATTTTGTTTTTATAATTGAGATGTTTTGTTTTTTGTTTTTTCCCCCCTATCTTTTATTTCCTTCTTTAATATGTGGAAGTAACCTCTTCATCTCTGCACAGAACTACCTCCTACATTGGCCATGACATTAACTTTGACAGACGAAGCAATTGGTTTCCTTTACCACTGCCATGTTTTCATCTCACCACCTAGAATCTAGTCTGTGTGGATGGTTGGCGGGTGCTCTTGTGTGGTTTACTCCCTCTTTCCTATCAAACATCTATCGTCCTGATCTCTCCTCCTTCTTTTTTGTGTTTGTTACTCTCTTGTAACACCTCTAATCTTCGGCACCTATATGACCGTATTGTGTTGCAAGTGCCGTATAACACTTACTAAAACTAAAAGTATTACATGGAAGCATTTTTTGGGTGGGTTTTATGTGACCTTGGACCTCTTGTACGTTTGTCTTTCACGATGTGCAATTTCATAATGTGAACTTTGATCCTTTGTATATTTGGATTTAACTAGAACACCCTAATGTAAGTTGTGTATAAATTGCGTATCACTGTGTGACATTCGATAATCTCTGTGTATGTGTCTCTCTCATGCAGAAAGGCAAGGAGTCTCCCAAGGCCGCGGAGGAGAACAGCGCTAGGGAGAAAGAGCTGGTCACCCTGCGACAGGTACCCTCACACACGCACACACACACACACATGCGCACACACACACACACACACACACACACACACACACACACACACACACACACACACACACGCACACACAAACTAGCACGTGTACACACACTCACACACACACACACTCACTCACACATAAAGACACACACACACACAAACTAGCACGTGTACACACACTCACACACACACACACACTCACTCACACATAAAGACACACACACACACACATATGAAAACACACACACATATAGTTTTCTTTAAATTCCCTTCTGTACATCTACACATAAACAGAATGGAGCAGCTGTTATATCAATACTTTATTCACCTTTTAGTTAGTACACGTTTTTATAAATGGACCTGTCTTAACTCACAAAACTTGACATACCCTTCACATTTAAGATGAGATGAGATGGGATGAGATAAGATAAGATAAGATAAGATAAGATAATATGATACCTTTTTGTCCCAGTGGGAAATATTTCTTGGCTGTCCAAGAACGGTACTGACACATGTAGGTATACTTTGTTCGAGGAAAGTAATGGGAGACGTTCCTTGTCTTGTAACAGTCTGTGAACTGTTGAATGGTAGTGTGCTGGGAAAGACCTATGCCGGAACGGGCCTACGTTTTTTTTAACGCCCTTACTCGAGCAAAATGTGCATTCTTATCCTTTGCTTACATTTGTGAGTCATCATGGTGATATCAGGCGCTCGTCAAAATAATGAAATCAAAGAAATCTGCATTGTTTTGGCCGATGGGCAATTTTTTTCTAAGTTTCTCACCGCCTTTTATGTCCATTTAAAATTACATTTTTGTGTGGATTTTACTGAAAAAAAGTGATTAAGGTACAAAAAATGTAAATTTTCAGTTTCCAAGGACTCTCAAGCTATGGAAGTTACCAAACTTTGACGGCCATTTTCTCGCTAATGTTATCTCTAAAACTAGGTGACTCTTAGCTCCTTCAATGACAAATACCTCAACTTCTATTCAAAATGGATGAATATTTTTTTTTTCACCAAAAGGAAGGCAAACGAACAGGCTTTATGATGATACCAATAACCCTATATGCCCCAAAATTGACGAGCGCCTGATTTCACAAAGTCGTGACACATTTCTTTTATGACTGTTAGATCTAGTGTGCTTTACTTTCACATAGATGAAGAGATAAGAAAAAGGAAGGTAAGCGTGCATGTGGAGAATGCCACTAGTAGGTCCTATATATACTTCCTTTTTTTCTCTCTGTTGTTTCTGTCTGTCTTTCTTTTTCTGCTCTGAATGACTTTATCTTTTCTATGTGCTTCTCTTTACACTCTAACTGTCAGAAAAATAAACAAATTGATTCTGTGGGTGGTTGGCGGGTGCTCTGGGTGTGAATTGCTCTTTCTTTCCTATCAAACATCTGTCACCCTGATCTCTCCTCCTTTTTTTGCGTTTGTTACTCTCTTGTAGTCCCTCAAATCTTCTGCACTTACATGACCTTATTGTTTTGCAAGTGCCATAAAACTCTTACTAAAACAAGAAACAAATTGTGAGGCATGCTGACAATTACTTCTTGCAAACTAAAAATGGAGATATCGACAAAAATCGACGCTGGGATCAGATTGATAGATTTTCAATTAATACCATTTTGTTCAGGTCTTTCGTGTCTTTTATTATTCCATACTTACAAATTGTACAAACTCCACCTATAACGTTGATGTATCAGTTTCCATAAGGCTAAAATCCAAGAAGTAACTCATTTTGTCTGCACACCTCTCAATTGATTTCTCAAATTATGCAGAAATTCAAGACAGCTGAGAGCAAAGTCCAGGAGCAGATGGACACCATCGCGGGGCTCCGAGAGGAGCTGGACAAGACCAAGACCCAGGTTTTCACGGAGAAGGACGTGCAGAGGAAGCTTCAGACAGACCTGGACAACACCAAGTCCCAGGTGACCGACGTCCAGCGGTCCGAGCGAGTGGTGCGGGTCGACCTGGAGCAGTGTCAGAAGCGCGTAAGTGCTGGCGGTAACTTGGGGGACGGTGGTGTCTCAGACAGTAGCTCTACGAGACAGATTTGTTACAGACAGTAGCTCTTTGAGACAAATCTGTTACTAGCTCTGAGACAGATCTGTTACAGACAGTAATGCTATGAAACAGATCTGTTACTGTAACAGACAGCAGCTCAATGAGACACATCTGTTACAGACAGTAACTATGAGACAGATCTGTTACAGACAGTAGCTCTATGAGACAGATCTGTGACAGACAGTAGCTCTATGAGACAGATCTGTTACAGACAGTAGCTCTATGAGACAGATCTGTTACAGACAGTAGCTCTATGAGACAGATTATTTGTTACAGACCGTAGCTCTATGAGATAGATCTGTTACAGACAGCAGCTCAATGAGACAGATCTGTTACAGACAGTAACTATGAGATAGATCTGTTACAGATAGTAGCTCTATGAGACAGATCTGTTACAGACAGTAGCTCTATGAGACAGATCTGTTACAGACAGACGCTCTATGAGACAGATCTGTTACAGACAGTAGCTCTATGAGACAGATCTGTTACAGACAGTAACGCGAGACACTTGGTGAACATAGTTGTTATCATGATAACTCCCCGTAGCGTACTTGTCACCTTGTCTCTTGCTTTGCCCAAACAAAAAGAAAAACAATGACATAAACTCAAAAGAACAAACAAACAAAAGGTCGCTGTGTGCCTTGTTTCCAGATTGAGCGGTTCCGAAGCCGTGTGATCCAGGTGACCTTCTCCACCCCGGGGGTTTCCGTCCCGAACAAGGAGGTCTCGGACGACGATCTCATCGAGGCCCTGAAGAAGCTGATGGAGGAGAGAGCCAAGTTGTTGTCTCGCATCAAGGAGCTGGAGGGGGATGTGGTGGGCGCCCAGGCGGGCAAGGAGGAGCTGCTGGCTTGTGCCGAGAAGCTGAGAACAGAAATGGCTGCAGCTCTGGTGAGAAGTTTACATAATGTATCAGGCAGCGTGGTGAAATCAGGCTTTCGTCAAAATAATGAAAGTGGAGAAACTGTGTTTTTTTTCTGCAGATTTGGGACCTTTTATGCCCATTAAATAATACATTTCCGTCTACATTTTACTGGAAAACATCGATTAAATGCATAAAAGATGTAAATTTTCAGTTTCCACGGACTCTCAAGCTTTGGGAAGTCACGCAATTTTGATGGCCATTTTCTCGGTAATTTTACTTGTGACTTGCATCCAAGAAAAATGGATATTTTTTTTCGGCAAAAGCCAAGCAAATGAAAACATTTTAAGATGATACTGACCAATATCTCCATATGCCAAAAAATTGACAGGTGCCTGATTCCCCCACGTCATGACACCTGTCAGGTCATTGCTTTGTCCGTGTCACCGGTATTGTGGTCTCTAGCAACACCTCTAATCTTCGGAAAAATCACACAACCTATCTTATTGTATTGCAAGTGCCGTAAAACTCTTACTAAAACTTAAATATATGACCTATTTTGTGTTGCAAGTGTCGTACAACTCAAACAAATGAAAGAAAGAAAAGCAAAACTGTGACTGAAACAAAGTATCCCTCGTTGTGTCATAAAAGAAAAAAAAAAAAAGAAAGAAAAACAAAACTGTGACTAAAACAAAGTGTGTCCCCTCGTTGTGTCTCCAGACAAGTGTGAGCACGGGCGGGCGCCTGTGCTCGGTGCTGAAGCAGGCCAGCAGTGTGGTCCAATCGCTGAGCACTGACGATCAGCTGACCTGGATCCGAGACCTGGTGGTGGAGCTCCTGGACGGCGAGTGTGGCTGGGAACAGCTAGTGGAGGACGCGCTGGAGACGTGCGGGGTCAACGTCAAGATATCCACCGACGGTACGGAAACTGACCTCAGCATGAGGGGTCACTGAGGCGGTTACTATGGGGTTGTACAGTAGCTCTGTCTTACAGAGACAAGAAACATCAATCAGTGATAAGTGTCATTATGTGGGTGGGGGGAGTGGGGGAGTGCATGTGTGCATAACTCAGAAGAGAATTTAAAGAAATCTCTACTTGGTTAGGCTACCAGACTCGTAATCGTGAGGTTGCGGGTTTGGGGGTTCAAGCCTCAGGCCGACAGTGTGTCATTGGGAAAGGCATTTTACACAAATTTTTCTCACTTCACCCAGGTGGGAATGGGTACCCGGCCATAGACAGCGAAAGATCTTCTCAGTATGTTAGTGTTTTAGCGCCTATAAAGGGCTGCTTGCTCTACATGCTTCCCAGGAAGTTGAGGTTGTTTCAGAATGCTCTCAGATCTGCTGGGGTAATAGTATAGACGGTGAAACGCATAGAGCTTGCTGTTGGGGATTTGCGCTATACAAAAGCTATCTATTGTTATTATTTTTATTATTATTATTATTATTATTATTATTATTATTATTATTATTATTATTACATATGTATGTGTGTGTGTGTGTACCCATGTGTGCATACCACAGAAGAGAATTTAAAGAAATCTCTACTTATGTCTGTCAGTGTATGTGTGTGTTTGTGTGTGTCTGTGTGTGTGTGTGTGTATGTGTGTGTTTGTGTCTGTGTGTGTGTATCTGTGTGTGTGCCTGTATGTTTGTGAGTCTGTGTGTGTGTATGTGTGTGTGTGTGTGTGTTTGTGTGCACACATTAGTTTACTTTTCCCGTACTGTCTCCTGTGTTACAGACCCGGGGAAGCACATCGCCCTGCTGTACTCCAAGTGGGAGTCGTCCCTCACGGAGAAACAGCGTCTGGAGAAGCTGCTGACCGACACAGAGAGCGCCAACAAGTCGGAGCTGGAACACAAGATGGCTGCCGTGGTCTCGGAGTGGGAGCACCGGCTGCAGGATGCGGTGGAAAAGACGCGGTTAGAAGGTCAGTCACTGGTGGTGCCAGCAGCTTCAAGTTGTCACACTTAACACTTTGCCGCCACATCGTGCTGATCGGCGATGTTTGCCACCCAGTTTCTTTAGATTTTCCCCCAAATGCCTTTGCCTTTGATTGTGAGGGTTTTTACTATATGAGCCTAGGGATAGCAAAGTGTTAACACACGACTTCATCATCATCCTCCGGTGCCTTGCCGACTGACATGGACAATCATGGACCTCGACTTCACTCTCTCTTGCGTTGCACTGATGATGTCTGTCGTTGTTACTGTTCCCAGCCATGTTGTTAACTTGTCCAGTATCTTTTCCCTCTGTCTGTTTCTGCCTCTATTTCTATCAAACTTGCCTTTGTGGGTGGTTGGCGTGTGCTTTGGTGTGGTTTGCTTCTCCTTTCCTATCAAACATCTATCGTCCTTAACTTTTTTCTATTTGTTACTCTCTTGTAACACCTCTAATCTTCTGGTGCTCATATGACCTTATGCAGTTGCGAGCACCGTAAAACTTCTACTAAAACGAACAAACTTGCCTGTTGTTACAATTTTCTCCAATGCTTCTTTCCGCAATGTGTGTTTCCGTTTTTTTGCGCCAAACTTTTGCGGTCATTTTCTTGCTAATTTTACCTCTGAAACCAGGTGACCCCTACCTCTTTCAATCACAAATATCTCGACTTCTTTTCAAGATAAATAGATATTTCTTTTCATTGAAAGCAAGGCATATGAATAACCTTTAAGATGATACCAATAACTTCTTATACTCAAAAGTTGAGGAACGCCTGGTTCCACCGCACTGTGACACAAATGTTTCCATTAGATATAGTTTATGGAAAAGAAAGACAACTGTGTAACTGTCATCATCAGGAGAGGAGAAGCTGAACGCCGCCATCGACGAGATCCGCGCTGCCGAGGGGGAAAAGCGAGAGAGCTATGTGGAGGCTGAGAGGAGGAAGATTAATGAGCTGTCTGCTTCCCTGGAACAACTGCGACAGGTGAGAGGGGTGGGGATACTTTAAGTTTATGTATGGAGCTGGGGGGATACTTTGTGTGAATGTGTG